CAGAGATGTAAACATAGACATGGGCATAGGGCAGAGATGTAATATATCTCTGAGATATAATATGATGATATCTCATTGTTTTAACAAGAGTTACTTTCGCCGCAAGTCTTTCTTGGTGGGCGGGTTCGGCTTGACTTCACTTACTCTAGAGATTCCTAGTAAAATGTTTTTAGTAAAAAACATGGATTTTTAATCTGTTGTTCGTCCGGAAGAGAGTTTTTAAAATGAAAAAAATTGTATTCTGTGGGTAAGACATTCCTGTGCTAATATTATTGGGATGATACTTTTGGTTCTCTTATCTCGTTGCTTTCAACGAGTGTTGCTTTCTGTCACACCTGGGTTCGGAGCACGGGACGTCGGCCAAGTGACCGTCAGCCAGCAACGCCCCGCAGTTTTCGGCCCGTCCGCCAGAGGGCTCGCCAGGTGCCCACGAGTTGTAACCACTGTCGCGCAGTTGCGTTCCTGCACACACCGCATTGGCAGGCCATCATCATCATTGAACGTACCTTGGCATCAAAGTTTGGAGCTCGGCAATAAAATTCAGTGTATTAATAATGAAGTTTCTTTATTAATGGTGAAGTTGTTTCAAAGTTCCTATGCTATATTATTATTATTATTATTATTATTATTATTATTATTATTATTATTATTATTATTATTATTATTTCTAAGAAACTCTGTATCTACGAACTCTTTGACCGACACTCACCCACTGACCGGAGACTGAAAGTGCCAATTCATTCAGACGCTGCCATTTCAACCTTACAAATGGAAGTTTATTTAATAATGGCAGAGCTGACCCTACTTTCATGCCTCCAAGTTATGCGTACGCAACTTATGAACTTATGACGAAGTTATGAAACTTATGAAATTACAACTGAAAAATCTAAATAATCAAGTTTAATTTTCTAGAGAATTTTCCAGAGTAATGAAATATTTATTATAAAATATATTATAATTATATCAAAAATAGTTATTATAAAACATAATTTGTAATCAATAATCATGTTTTCATGATCGTCTGAGGTTATAGTTGTCAATGCAGGAGATAATAATTGCCCCGACATTTTTTTCACTTCAACTCAGCGCATCTGGTCTTTTTGTAAAATGTGTAATAGGAAATAAATTTCACCATTGATTAGCAATAGTGATTAACAAATATTTGCCATATTAATTGTATTTATATAATTCATAATTAATTAATTGTGACAGTGAGGTATATTTTATTATGTTACGAAATCCGGCATCATTGTAGCAAAATAGCCTTTCATAATCCATAACTATATTCGTAATGTGTCTCAATCATTCAATGATATCAATATATCTTATTAATTGAATAATTAGTGATGAAAAGTCTTTGTGAATGTGAATGCTGAAAACTACGTCCGCTTTGCACCACGATGGAGCGGAAATAAGATTCTTTACGCCAGGCTGCACGGCAAGGGCCCCTTCACACCGAGCCACTCGGCTGTGCTCCCGAGCAAAGGAATTTTTTGAAATGGAGGTATTCACTCGGGCGGCGCAATGACGTCGCTGAGGCGCTTAGCGGCGCACTCCCGCAGCCACTAGCAGCTCAGGTGCTTTTCCCCCAGGCGCTTTCCCCCTGCAGAACACAGAACTAAATAGAATCGTCGACCGCGGCCGGAGTCCTGTGAAAACAAGCCCTGAAGAGGGTCTCCCTGGACTCCAGCCCTGAAGAAGACCACGATGTGATGGTCGAATCGTCGGCATCACTGCCCTCGACGTGGCGTCATCAGGGTTAGCCGAGAGTCGGTTTATACTTCGATATACAGTGGCACTTCAAGATAGACGAGCTGGACGGAGAGGGGAACACTGTCATTAAATCGGGAGCTTTGTTTCGACTTAAATTTTTAGTATTGAGGCTCCCGATTCGATTACATATCCGTCCAGCTCGTGACCTTTAAGTGCCACTACGATTCAATCTGAGTGTAAAAGCAGTATTCACAAGATCACTCGGAATCTGTCTGTTTATAATGTCGATTGCCTTGCGGCAGCCGGCGCCCACAACGGTGTGGCTCCGAAATCCTTCCTTTCCCATTCACAGGAAATGGGGCGCGGTGGCGCTGTAGAGTGGCTCTGTTGCTTCCGTGCAAAGGCGGTGGAAGGTTGGAGCGCTCTCTAGCTCAGCCGTGAGATAGTTAATATTAACGAATTAACACGAAACTGTTTCTCTTTGTACCGCTATTTTTTTTAAAATAAGGAGTGCAACAATTTTTTTTTCTAGAGCCTAAAATTAGTCTTGAATTTTAGGTGGAATCTCATAGTTCTGAGTTTTTTTAATTTTTTTTTATTTTGGTGTGCATTCGCCCTTAATACCGCATTTCACTATTTTGCTTTGTACAGCTTTGAATTTTTTTATATGGGCTGCAATAATATTTTTCCAAGGGCGTAAAATTAGCATTTACTTTTGGATGCATTTTCGTTGTCTTGCAATGATGAAAAGTTGTATTTTGTAGATGAGCGCTGCTAGTTTTAAACTAAAGCTAGCAATGCTCAGAATTTCGAAAGATCGAAGAGGGCATACAATTTGAGAACAGAGCATTTCATTAGCCTTTAATTTTGGATGCGGTTGGGGATGGGGTTTTGGGCGCTGCTGGCTTCAGACGGCCCTGCGGCGCGCGCTTACCGTCGTAGTTGCGCCAGTCGCCCTCCTCGGCGAGGTCGTTGATGCCGATGAAGACGCCGCTCTCCCGCAGCTGCGGCCGCGTCATCATGCCGGCCAGCAGCCCCGCCTCGCGCGCTGTCTCGGGCGTGGCCAGCGCCGCGCCCTCGCGCGCGCACGTGGCCGCCGCCTTCGCCCACGACCGCGCCGGCCGGTGCAGCTTGTACATGGCCAGGCCGCGCACCGCGCGGTACCCGTCGCCCTTGCCTGGCGCAACGACCGTCAACGACACCATGGAACATTAATTATTTTTAGTACAAAAAAATGTGTTATGAACTTTCTTGATAACTCCAACGTTTTGTGTGAGACGTTGCTCAATTTTTTGAATCGCTGGAATGACATTTTCTCAGATTTTTACAAAGAAATTGTTGCATTTAGAGCCAGATTTTACACACTTTTAATATTCTTTAAGTTTATTTCAATTCTGCTATTGGGGAACCAAAAATTTAGAAAACGTGAAAATTCGTAGGGGAATACTGGGATGAGAGTGAAGCATCACCAAAAAGCAAGCGGAGACTTAAGATATTAGAAAAGTAATTATAACGAGAAAGTCTGTACCATTTCGTAACACTACTACTTCGCAAATGAGTCTAGGGAATAAATGGAAGGCCGCTGGCGGAGTAGCTAGCCAGGTTGTTTTCACATTAGAATCACAGTTACAATATTGGAATTAATCTTCAGAACAATTTAGGAAGAGTTTTAGTGGAGTACAACGCTTATTGAATTTTATTGTTAATTATTGTTTTTCCTTGATTTATACGTCGTTTATGTATCGTTCTTGAGCCTATGGAAACCAATGGACTATGAGTATATGATCCCCAGCGTTTGCAAGAGTAGCCTTAAATTATAATTTAAACATTAAATTAATGTATTTAATGAATTTTTAAATTATTATACATTTATTTTATACATTTAATAAAGACATTCTTGGGTGTAATGATAAGGCACTGAGAAAAATGTACAAAGTCACCTACGGCTGTAAGAAATGCTAACCTACAGATTTCGTACGTCTATAAAATTTTGTTTTAAGGCTATCCCCCTTCTTTGCACCCGTGCCCGTATTTGTCATCCTTTATCAGTTATGTAATTTATGTGTCAGTTACATAATTTATGCACTTTTTGTTACTAATCCGTTACGCATTGTTCAAGGTTGTAGCATCCGTTCGGAACATTCACAGTTTTTATCAGTTGATTTTAAACTAAAATAGTTATATGGAATGAAATGCATTTCAGTAGCTTTTAATATGTGGGGTATAGTTTCTGAATTCTTTTTTTCGGACGGTATTGTTCCTGATTATGAATTAATTTTTTTCTCAATGTCGCGTGTAGAATATTGGCGTCGATTTAAATATTTACTTGAAATGATGAATTTTGCTGTGGAGAAAAAAATGCTTGGAAATTTATTTTCAGCAAGAAAGTCATTTTGTAAAACCATTATCGAATTAAAATTGCAAAATGGATCATGCATTATTGTAGTTGCTTTGAGCATTTGTTGTGAAGGACTGATTTCACATTATTCGGTACGTGTAGTGGTGATTCCAAACATCATCCTCCCTCCACCCTATTGGCCGGCTAATTTGGTAGTCGACGTTAAAATGTTACTTATTCGTCGGGTTGCCCAATTCGTGCGACGCGTACACGAGAGTTAAGCAATGTGAAGCTTACGTAACTGCAGGTACCCAGAGCGGGATTTATACATTACGGGCCCTAATCATAACCAAAGTATGAAGCCTACTTATAAGATTATGAATATTAATGGTAACGTTTGTAATTTAAAAATTCGTTATTAAAATAAAGGGCCCACAAATTATTTATCGCCGAAGACGAGCGCGGCCACTCCGGCCGAGACACTCTATCCTGCAGCCGGAACATCGCGGCGTGGCCTTCGCGAAGCTCTGACCCCGACAGCTCTCGAACCGTACAAGCGAGAGGAAATGCTTCATGACACATCCGTTCCATAAAATTCGCCTACTAATGAACACAGTGGCGGTCAAGCAATTTTGTTGTTCGTGATGGCATTATGATCCCATATAGCGTTTTGTTTTGCGAGCAATTACATCGCTGGAAACCCTCTCTCGGAGGAAGAGGTCCGGCGCCCTATTATGGTGGAAATCGCCTCCATTCCGCGTGATTTCTTTCAAAGAGTAAATCACCCTTTATATAATATCGTAGGCTTTCACGGCCGGAGTCAATGGAAGGTAGATTTTCCGGGCTGGTAGGCCGTGGTCCAGTTGGCATAGTTGGGCCAAACGTTTCGTCCACGTCTGCGGCGGCCATCTTCAGTGGCGGCAGGGTCGCGGGCGCAGTGTTCGGGGCGGCGGCTGGCTGGCGACTGGCTTAAATCACCCTTTGTTCTGGCGGTGGCAAGAAGGAATTCGAGCAGATTGCAACACTTTCAGCAAATTGTATGTGAAAAGTTAGCGCTGCGGAAGCCGCCTCTATCCCGGCGCGGGGCTGAATGGGCGTCCGGCAGCCAGTCGACGTGACCCTGTTTTCAACGACCGATAAGTTGTCCACGACGGAGGGTGCATATTACAAATATTACTGTGCAATGTGTGCAGAAAGTGAAAGGCAGTCTCCGGCTGTGTGAGAGGTCTCTCTTGGCACCCAGAAACTAGTGATGCGACATCGATAACAAAACATCGATGTTAGCAAACATCGATGTTCAAAATTAAAACATCGATGTTTAAAAATACATCGACGAAAAACCATGGATGTTTTTCAACTTCGATGTTTTTAGACTGGATTAGTAGCCTTTAACATTAAATTCGTGTGCAATTTAATTTAATTTGACTCTGTTCGAGTATATATATATTCTCCGAATAAGGGCATGATAAAAAGGTGCCGACCCTACGCCCACAGCGTATTTATTGCTCATATCACAAAGTGCGAAATGAATATGAGAAGGAAATACAATGGCGTAGAAGTCATCTCGGGAGAGAAAGTTTGGACGTTGTAGTTAGTGCAACCAGCAGTCTTTTGGTTCCAACACATGAATAACAGTATTACTGTCAGTAATTAATTTCATATTTTAACTTTTACAGTATTGTGATCATGGGAATTTTTCATTCAGAAACTAAAAATCGGAAAAGGCAAAAAAAAAAAAAAAATTATCACAAATCATCGATGTTATTAAAACATTGGTATTAATACATCGATTTTAAAAACATCGGAGTTTCTACAAAATCGTCGATGTTATGAAAAAAACGACATCGATGTAGCATCCCTACCAGGAACTGGAAAAATCCCCCATCCCCACCCACCAAAAAGTAGATTCTGTGTTGACAGAAAAATTCAAATATTCGATACTAGTATTATTCGTCCTGTTTTCGTAATGCACCTTCTGAGTCAATTCTCATACTCGGTGTGTACGACACCGCTGACGTCATTCAATAGCAAGGCTCCAAGGAAGAGGCTACATGCTTTAATTATTTGCTACGTACGTGTTGCGTTGTAGATCAGCAACATTTTTTATATTCTTCATTTGAAAAGAACTGTTATTGCCTGAATTAATAAAGAGCCCGTTTTGTCGGAATATAAAATAGCTTGCAGTGCAGTGGGGGGAGCGATTCCTGCTCGCCTACACTTTAGCAATAATTTTTATATGCTTCGTTTGAAAAGAACTGTACTACGTTATTGCCTGAATAACAAAGCCTGTTTTCGTTGGAATATAGAATAGCTTGCAGTGCAGTGCAGAGGCGAGAGCGATGGTCACCTGCGGGGGCGGCCGGGGGCGGGTCGCAGGCGAAGGCGAGGGCGGCGGCGCAGCGCTGCGCCACGAAGCGCCCGTCGCCCGCCAGCAGCGCGCCGCAGTTGCGCTGGGGGCTGTTGGCGGCGCCGGCGCTCAGCCACGCGCCGTAGCCCTGGCCTGCCAGCGCCTCCCCTGCGCGCACAGACATCACGTCACGAGCGGTTTGCTTTTTGATGCAGTAGTGTTTCCGGTCAACGCGTCAACTGCTAAGGTCATTGGTCCCGTAAGTGTAGTGCATTTTTATGCTCGGGAGGTGGTGGTGATCTTCCCCTCTGGATGGCGATATCCGGTGCCGACCTGCACGTCGGCTAGCTTCCCTTTTCCTGACCAGGTATCTCCCTCCAGTGGGTCACCGCGTCAGCCGGGACAAGCTCTCAGCTCCTGACGAGTCACCCGGAATGTGTTGTAGTGTAGTGCATGTTAGTGTAAGTGTGTGTGTGTGTAAGGAGTGAGGATAGAACAAGGAAGAGAAAGGTGAGATCGCAAGTGAGCTGTGACCCGTTTGTTAGGGAATTGCTCCAGCATTCGACTGGTGTTGATCGGAGAAATCATGGAAAACTACCGATCAGAGCAGCCGGCCATTAAAATTGTCTTGCAGACAGCGACGGAATTCGACCTTGCTGTGAAGCAAGTGTCTACAATCCTGCAAACTCTTAAGACCTCCCTGTCAGAGGTGCTGCAGTGACATGAGTTGTTGCTGTATGCCATTTAAGTCGGTTTACGTTTGGTGAAATTGAGTAAATTGACTTTCGATTGAGCTAGATGCTGGGTCTCGAAAACCTGTGAGATACACACGTTGACTCCCACTATCCTTCGCAGCACTGCACAACCACACATGTCGGGAGCTTAAAACTTGACGTAATTGGGGCGGTGGGCCTCCTTGGGAGAGATACCTCGAGGGGGATGTCCACCGCACATCTCACGTTCCATTGGGCAAGGCAAATGACACCTCCCGAGGTACCTCACGCACCACATTTCCGGGACTTTGTCTAATAGTAGACCGTAGCAGTTGGTGCCCGAAAACCCAATTGAATAGACGCGCGTTCTCACCCTGAGCGGTGATCCATCGGCCCTCGTGCGCGATGTCGTTGAGGCCGACGTGCAGGGCGTCGCGCATGGCGGTGCCGTGGAGGGCGCTGGTGTTTACGGCGGCGAGCAGGCCGGCCAGGTGCAGCGCTTCGGCCTCGCTGCGCGGCACGGCCAGGCGCTGGCCCGCGCGCGCGCACACCTCCGCCGCCTGCAGCCACGGCAGCGCGCGCGTGTGCAGCACGAACCGCGCCGGCCCCGCCCCTGCGCCCACGACGCCGGTTGACTTTTGGTTTTTACTGATGCGTTATAGCTTGTTATTGTCTTCGATATGAGGTGCATCTCTTAACCTGGGCCATGAGGACCGTCCTTACAAGGGACATATGAAAACA